TCACCGCCCTCACCGCCCTCACGGCCCTCATGGCCCTCACGGCCCTCATGGCCCTTACGGCCCTCATGGCCCTCACGGCCCTCACGGCCCTCACCACCCTCACGGCCCTCACCGCCCTCACGGCCCTCACCGCCCTCACGGCCCTCACCGCCCTCACGGCTCTCACCGCCCTCACAGCCCTCACGGCCCTCACTCACTATTACACTCATGAATTTTCCTGGTTCTGAAACTCACTCACCCTCACCTCACCTGTGAAGATGAGGGTGAGTGAGGGTGAGTGAGGGCCCTCATGAGTGAGGTTTGCCGAGGTATGGCCGCAAGACGTCCCGTCGTGCAAGCGCCTCGCCTCATTGTTGCCACAAAACATCTAGTTTTCATCAGAAATCAAACATATTTAAGGTTTGAGTGCACAACTTTCTATCTTGGTTTTCTGGGGCCCTAATCTGGAGACTTGGCGAAAAAGTCGGCGAGAAGTCTGGCGGCTGCGCTTGGCCGACGCCGCACTTGACTTTGGCGCCGGCCAATCAGAACCGTCAGATTTCTCGCCGTCTTTCGCGCCAAGTGTCCAGATTAGGGCCCCTGTTCTATTTTGTTGTCCCAGAAGACAACACTAAAATAGTATTTCGTCGTGTTAAAATTGTTTACTTACACCATGATTGACGCAAACATTATCTGTGAGCCCGCGGCAAGTTTGGGACCGGAATCGCAACAAACATATCGCCTAAATGCCATTTTGAGATTTTGTCTGGCAGGTCCCATCTTGAATGTCATTTGGCATAAATGCCATTTTAGGTGCCGTCTGCCAGGGGTAACACAGAGGCAAAAACTGAAGAATAGCTTTTCTAGCCACGTTTCAGTAAGGCAAATGATGAATTACCTGTAACTCCGGACAAGAACTCGGATGACTTTGTCCTATGACCACAAACATTCTGGTAAGAGAGAGTGAGTGCGCTCCATGCTACCTGATTAGCCCAACTATTTTTGAACTTGGCGCTACAAGTTTTGCCAAAGTCCAACTCGGTTTAACTCGATATTCGCAAGTTCCTAATCGCGAGTAAATTGGCATAATGGAAATGTCGTAGTTGGTTGGTAGCAGTTGTTTTCTTGGTATGGTACGAATGTTTTGTGGTGCTTTTTCGCGAAAAATGAAATTAAACGCTTTATATTTTGTAATGCAGCTTGTTAATTATGTGATCTATGTTCATGATAGTATTCGATTAATGCGAGCAGAAAACTTACTGCTAAGTGTCTTGCGCAATTTTTGAGCTAACAATGACACCCCCAAAGGCCTTTATAACAAACGCCTTTACTAAGAAAATACCGTTTAATGAAGTAAAATAAAGTCCTGGCCAGTCTCTTTGTGTTCAATGTGTTCCTCTGACAACTACAAATTCCTGCTTAACAAATATATCTATTTAATGAAGCAATTCGCGACTCTACAAAACAAAAATGACCGGTATTATAAATTTTCTGGGTGAAAAGTAATCGCTTTTACGTAAATTGTCGCTCTTAAGTGGCGCGCATAGAGAACAGAAATACCGCGGCACTGGAGACGATTGGCACTGTCGCCTCCGTCGCACGCTCGTGGTCTCGGTCCAAATAATTCGTCGGTATGCAACCATGTGTCCAGATCGGGGTCTCGAACACGCGGCCGCACAGGTATCGTGCGGCTTCGAGCCCCCATTGCCATGTCTCGAGTGCTACATGCCCCATAAAAACATAGTTCTGTATCGTCCATTCATTTCTGCTCGTACAACGTGTTCTCATATCTTACAATATAATCTTTTCTTTCGGACTGAGTAATGCTTCGTCTAAATATTAGCTTCTCAGCCCTTCCTCGTGTAGATCAACCGGAACGACGATACCACTATACTAGGCTACAAGCACAAGCTTTGCACAAAGAGGAACCTCTGCTACATGAACTCAGCGGAAGAAAGTTAAAGCTGCTCGAGCCTCTGGTCGTCAGAAAACATCATTAGAGTATGAGTCTTTTCTTATAATTCTGCTACAAAATTGTATGAGGAGGTATTTGTTTCCGTGACTGATGAGCTTAGTGAATTGTGCGATAGGGCAACGACAGTGCGATTGATCTTGTTCTAACGAAAGCTGCTAGCACAATGGCATTTTCAATCGTATCACATCAGCTGTGGCCCAGAGGATATGCGAATCAAAGCAACTCTGGCAAAACAGCGCACTTACAAAAAGCAGCGAACAGGAGATCCCTTCTCTAGAAAATTCCTGTGGTATTGCTGGGAGAGGCGGCTGGTTTCCAAAATTAACCAGCATTGCGGGCCTTTTTTGTCCCAAAATACCGAAATAGTGCCCCCCCCCCCTTTTCTCGTTGGCCCTCAACCTTTTGGGCTAGACTACCTGCCTCCCCCCCCCCCCCCCCTTCCTACAATGAGTTTTAGACCTCTGGTCCAGAATGTGCTACGTGACTACGTTGCTGCGCAGAAAGCCTGTACGCAGCAACGTAGCGCCATCTAGACACAAGATCGTACACTACCAAATTGTTCCGACCCAGAACCGAGTAGGCGTGACGGATGCCGTCCCGCCTCCGCCGCACAATGCGCATTATTTGGCACGGAGGTTGGTGCTTTGGAATGCACCCGCACGAACGAGAGTGTGTATTCAAAGTATTTTGGTGCGCAGTCGCAACTTTTAACATTTGTTCAACGGACGCGCCGACCTTCGTGAGGATTCCCAATGTTGCTCGATTGGAGTCTCAAACTGTTCCTTCTTAAAGCTGTAATTTGATCTGGGACTACACGCGATGCCGAAATCTAAGTGCAATTGGTAGAGCTTCAGAGAAAAATGTTTCCTCCTCTGTGACACGAGTGCAAAAAAAGTGAAAGCCGTTTACAAATCCCTGTAACGCCGAATTGGAGCGCAGCTCTTGAGGAGGAGGAGTGAAGGGTACTGAGGGGAGGGTAGACCCCTCCTCCTCCCCTCATTCTTTAATATGCTCCGGGGGGGCGGTCACGTGACCTCGGGGGGGGGGGGGTGTCACGTGACTTCGGGGAGGGGGGTCACGTGACCTCGGGGGGTCACGTGACCTCAGAGGGGTCACGTGACCTCAGAGGGGTCACGTGACCTCAGAGGGGTCACGTGACCTCAGAGGGGTCACGTGACCTGGGGGTCACGTGGATGTCACCTTGGGGTCACGTGACCTTGATATGACCTTGGGAGGGGTCACGTGACCTTGGGGAGGAGACCACGTGACCTCGGGGGTCACGTGACCTCGGAGGGGTCACGTGACTTGGGGGTCACGTGACCTTCAAAGGGTCCGTGGGGTCTTGGGGTCACGTGACCTTGAGATGACCTTGGGAGGGGTCACGTGACCTTGAGATGACCTTGGGAGGGGTCACGTGACCTGGAGGGGTCACGTGACCTTGGGGGTCACGTGACCTTGGGATGACCTTGGTTACGCCGACGGCGACGCCGACGGCGACGGCGACGGCGACGCCGCTCAAGCCGGGAACGGGCCCCTAAGAGCTGCGCTCTAAAAGGTTGGTTCTTTGTGCGCCCCTCCTCGGTGCTCTGGAACGCCGTGCGCTGGAGCGTGGCCAATTGTGCTGTGCTGCTCTGGTCCTCTGCAGCAACGGCAGTGCTACCACTGCTGTTGTGTCCACTCCTACGAGAGCAGCTGCTTTGAAAGCTTTCTCAGAATCACACGGGGTGGCGCTAGCTGCCACCCGGTTGAGAACAGTCCAAATTTACGCAGCCTGCGAATGCCTCTTCTCTGCAGAATCGGGGGTCGCTGTCAATGGTTTGGCGATTGTTGCGATTCATATTTTGATAACTCAAGCAACTTTGTTGTGTGCAAGTCTGCACAGCTGGAAATTAGTCTGCAGTAAGGAGCGCCTGGTGTCTAAGCTGTAGATGACAAACTTTGCCAGTGGCAGTACTGGGGGTATGGCTAGCCCGGTATCCTTATATTGCGTCGCGCAGTGGTGAGTACACAAACGTTGCCTATGCAGTTTTCATTTAGACAAAAAGGTAATAGAGCGCATCATCCTGGATTCTGCAGGGCGAGCTGGGATGCACTAGTAGACTTGGCCTTTATTCCCCATTTTGATGGTCAATTGTCAATTTACAAAACCTAGTTTCTGACGTCATGCATGTACGTCAACGTGCGATAGCACAAATTCGGTTTCGCACAGTTGATTTTTCGCACTCAACTACTACGACGAAGTTTCCTGTACTACGAAAAATTCCTCCGGTCCCACGGACTTCCTTATAAAGGCTTTCCATTGTAGCACCATTGGCCCCTTCCTCGGTATTTCCAGATGTATGTGTTACAAGTGTAAATTGAACTCGCTTCGCACCGGCCAATGTTCGTCGGCGGCAAGAAGCGGAAGCATGACAGACGCAGTTCGGTTTCAACACAACACTAAGTGAGGGAGCCGTGTGGCCCCCTGTTTAATATAGAGAGCTGCACTTCCAGACATCAGGCCACGAGGGGACCTTGTGGCACTACATGCTAGCCAGGTATATAACAATATGAACTTTCTTTGATTTGATGATTGAAAATACTTTCATTATTTTTTTGACAACTCGAAGTGATTGTGAAATCGTTCCCGAATGTTTTTTCTTGTTTTGCAGCTTAAATAGGAATCTTTTTCTGCAGAGCTTGGAACAGTTTCGGGTACCACGACATAAGATGATGCGAATGAGCAGTAACTCCCCCATTGAAGTGCACATTCTGTGTGAACATGAAATTGATTTATGGTGGCCCTTCTCGCCGTCAAATGAGATGGTCAAGAAGGTGCCTCGGTGAATGAATCTATGCCCAAAGCGATTGTGACAAAGTATTTTTCCCCACCACCATTCTGAAATGTACGGAGGAGTCCAAGGGGCCTGGGTAAGAAATGCCCCTGTCCCGAAAAAGAATTGGCGCCATGATTTTGTTGCGAGTGGTGTGAGCGATGAGGGGCTTTTATTTTGCTGTGGATCTCCCATTTGAAAAGGCGTCCCAAAGGGGGTGTTTGTCCCTGCAGACTGGGTCCGGGAAGACGTACACGATGGGCACTGGGTACGGCCTGAACCTGGACGAGCACGAGCGGGGCATCATTCCCCGGGCGGTAGATCAGCTCTTTGCCGGCATTGCTCGGCGCCAGGCGGAGGCCCGGGAGAAGGGGGCCCCTGTCCCGGACTTCAAGGTTCACGTCCAGTTCATGGAGGTAAGAACTTTATGCAGCAAAAGCCTTTATGCTCGGCCTCAACTACTTTGCGCTACGCTGTCAAAGCTGCATCTTGCGTTTCTTTCGCTCGAGAACACTCGGAAATGACACGCAAGATGACGCCACGTGCTCTCACCAGTGCAAGGCGGCAGCACTTTGGAATACGTGCTAGCCTTATACAGTGCGATTCACTTATAACGGTACCACATACAATGGTGCACTGCTTATAACAACCAGTTTCTAGAGTTTCTAGTCTAGAAACGGTCAGATTCTAGTCCAGTTGCAACGATAATCGGTTATAACATTTGAAGTTTCAGGTTTTCTCGCTTTCGTTTTAAGTGGATTGCACTGTAGACCCTTTACGGCAACTTTGCATAGGTGCCGCCATCTTGAAATCGCTCGACCCTGCCGCCGTGGCCGACCTTCAGTTTTTCATCGGTAGAATGCGTTTTCTGCTGTACCCCACCACAAATGGAGATTTTAATGCAGAATGTGTTTTATGAGCAGTTTTTTATGCCTTTAAGGAACTAGTGTCGTAGCGAGCGTCACAAACGAGTGACGTGCTGGGAGGGGCACGGACGTTAACTGTATAAGCTTCACATATAAATTCAGAGCGTACTCGAACCTGTGTCAGTGGGCTGGCAGTCGGATACTATAGCCACTGAGCTACTAGCACAGCTGGTCTGCCAGGGGAAATGGTAGGCTCATGCAAATATTCAATGTTTTCAAATGTTCCATCGAATAACATACGACCCAAAATTCGATTCAAATTCCGGTATTCGGAAATTTCAAAATATTTGACGCGAGCGAACAGCGAACTTCGAGGTACTTGTTTTGGGGCGGTTTCGGTTTTATTTAGCAAGTACCAGCGCCATGGACACGTCCAGGTGAGCTTTATTTTTCTTTCGAAATCCACTAGATTGTCAACACTAGCCAGTAGCCAAATGAACTGGCTGCGTCGTTGGGACCACTCTGCTGTTTCGGATCACCATGGCAAACGTGTCGACTGCTGGCAACCCGATAGGGAGTTATTTCACAAACATTTCTCCGGGCACTGAAGCTGGATCTTTAACGTGCAAAGTGGTACTGAAGACCCTGACAACGCTTGCAATGCAGCTGAAGAGACATCTGGACTGAAACCAGACCTACCTCAATGAGTAAAAGAACAACTAAGCTCAAGCAGGCAAGCAAACCCAAGCTTCAGTAGCAACAGATGACAAAAAAGATGGTTTGTAGTTATAGTCTGAATTCCTCGGCACGATGAACAATGCCTGCCGTTTTTCCAGAGCGTTATGACTCGAAGAAAGAGGAGCTGAAAATATTAGACGTTTACAATTCTCGTTAATCCCGGATTAGAGCGCAACTCTTGAGGAGGGGAGTGTACAGAGGTTGGGTATGTGCCTCCTCCCCCCTCCACTCCTCCTCGCCTGCTGCCTTCCCATTTAGTGGGACATTTTTGCTAAATTTCCCGCTAAATTTAGCTAAATTTTCTGCTCTAAACTTAGCGGGAAATTTAGCAAAGATTTTGCCGCTAAATTGAGCGGGGAATTTAGCGAAAATTTTCCCTCTAAATTTAGCTCAAAAAATTTCTCATAATGCGAGGTGCACGGTTACGCCGATGGTGCCGCCGCTCAACCCAGAAATAGGCACCTAAGAGCTGCGCTCTAAAAAAAAATATGGGGTTCGTCAGCTGAGTAGAGTGCCTCTGGATTGCAACGGATGGTTGGAGATTGCGTATGAGTGACAGTCACGTGTGCGTTCACGCAACGGACACAATGCAGCACGTGCATCATTGGCCTGCGCCCAGATGACAGACTCTCGCACTCCCGAAAACCTGGTGCTCTTCATCTCCGGTGTCGTTGAGGAGTGGGAGCTTCAATCCCAACGTGTGCCGATGTACGTCGTTACCGAGAATGGAAGAAACGTAGGCGGTTGGACGGTCGTCCTGGATTGGCGTGCAGTGTTTCGCGCACAGTCTTCAGCTGCGTTTCAGCGATGCCAAAAGAGAAGTGGCTGCATTTTCTCAGCTCCGCGCGAAAGCCAGAGCGATTGTCAGCCAATACAAAACGAGCGCCAAAGTTCGAGGACACCTTCTTGAGGTGCAGAGGAGCATGGACTCGTATACTCTGGAAGTTGCGCAAGATGGTTTGACGGAACAGTGAGCACGCCACGGTGGCCAGACTTGCGAAGCTGCGTGTGCCCATTACTGTGACACTTTGGACAAGCTCAGCAGGAGGGAGTGCAAGCTGGAGCTGGGAAGGTCCTACATGCGCCTGACCAGGCTATGACCCAGCTCTCTGGGGGCCCAACACCCTCGCGAGTAATGCCCCTCTCGCCGTGCACTCAACCTATAGCAGTGTCTGATCAGGCAGCACGGATTGTCTTTGAAGAGGGACCACCTGGCTGTGTTGGTGGACCCGAGTTCTCAAGATGCACTTGGAAACTTAGAAGGGCGGCAAAGGAGGGATGATGCGTGGAAGACAGGAGACTCTGCAGTTGTACAGTGGCAAATGACTTGAAGGCTTCTTTGGTGTGGTAGGAGTGCTGCCGCTCCCTGGTACCTGCTACACAGGCTCTTTTGAACTGCACTGGCTATTGTAAGCTGCAGAAGGGAGCGCCTCCTGCACTTTAGATCCTTGAGAAAATGAAGAGTTACAGATATTCAAAGTATTTGCTTCGAAATTATTGGACACCAATTACTATTCCCTTAGATTTCGCTTCCAGATAAAAAAAAACAGTATTCGCGCAATAAATGGTTTCATTGTAGTGCAAACGTAAGTAAATAATATAACTAAAATAGATAACGAAATGCATAAAACGAATGAAAAACAAGAGCATGGACGGCACACGGACAGTGTGGGACGCATTCTCAGCTTTCTGACCAGCATGCCCGTAGAATCTTTATATGTTCTGATTACTTTTTGACTCCAGTTAATCTTTACGAATAGAATCTGACTGCAAATGGGTCGACGGAAGAAAATGGCCCGAGTAACACGTTAGGAACCTGGGGGGTTAGCCCCATGTCGCAGAAACCTTGTCCAAATTTTGAGCTAAAAACATCCTTTTCGTCTAAGGCTCGTCAAACTATTAGGCACCAAAGAAAATTGGCCAAACGCCATACAGTGATGGGATCGCTGCGCCAATTGTGCCAAACTGCGCCAAGGGGCTAACCGTGCTACATCCTCCTACATTTCGCCAAATTATGGGTAACCTGCAACAAGCCTGCGCCAAAGGACAAATTTTGGTCGCCTTTCGAAACCGCAACTAAATCGAGTGCCCTAATTGAGCATGCGTGAGCTAGGTGGCGCAAGCGGCCGCCCGACACGAAGTACTCTGCATCAATGGTCCATCCGGTCTTGGATGGTTTTTGCCGCCGTCTCTCGTTTCGGGCTCTCCTCCTCGCGTGGATCTCGTCTTGAGTCTTTTTAAAATTTTTTGACGACAGACGCGGGCGTGTGTGGACGCTCCGACGGTAGCGTGCTGTATATCAGGCCAGCCATGCCGTCATGCAGTGAAACGAAACCACGTTTTTGAGCAGCGGGAGTTACTTTGTGAGCTGAAGCACTCGCTCCTAAAACGACGACGCCGGGTGTTGCCGTCCCCCCGTCGCTGCAGATATGGCGCTTTCTAAACTGAAATGTGAGGGCTGTCGCATGTCCATCAACATTCCTGTTCTTGTTTAAATCATACGCTACAACAAGAGTCCCTCTTTAACTCAGTTTGCTGCGTCGAAGTATTGATTACCTAGATTTCTACGGCCAGCCGGCAACAGGCAGGCGGCGCCGGCAGAGTGGGAGCCCACGGTCATACCCCGTTTCGTTGTAACTTGGCAAAGGGTGAATGATAAGCTCCAGATTGCGTGCCGACGGCTTCAAAATGCACGACGACGACGTATACGAGCGCAACGCACGCATATTAGTGAACGACGCAGCGAAAAGCCTGATACTCCTTTGGAGTTGAGGCGCGCTCCGGTGATACGCAGTCACGTTCCCATTGGCCTGCTAAGGCCGTAGCTTCTGCTGCACTGGCATGTTACGCGATATTCCTAGGGTACCCAGTATTTCCTGCTTCAGACACTAGGCTAAGCGGCGCCACTAGAGTAAAGGCTCAAGTTTGAACAATGAAGCAGCTACTCCCAGGGATATCTAATATTTTTTTTTTTATTTCAGTCTCTAGATGGCGCCAAACCAACCAGCATTGCAGGTTGCCTATCGGTAGGCTTTCTTTCGAGAGACCTCGATACGTGAAAAATCTTCCGCGAAAGAAAATTGGTGAAAAGAAGTGATCTAAAACAAAGGTAATTTATGCACGCTGAACCCGCACAGCACGCTGGTTTGTCTCGAGTTTAGTCGTTGCACACATTTTGACACTGGCTCGCAATGTCTTGCGCGATGCGCTCAGGTTCTGTTTTATGTGCATACATTGCCTTTTGCTTTGTTTGCTGGCCTGGCAGGCACGTGCCGCTGGACTGTTTTTTGTCGTATGCTCGGCAGTTACATTTTGCATAAATTTTGGGAACCATTTGGCGACAGAGCGGAGATGCATGATTTCGGTTTCGATCGAACAGCCATCTCCGCTCGCGCGACGAAGCACGTGCAACTGCAGGCCTGCCGAAGTTGCCCTCATGTGCATGCGAACATGATTGCACCAGCTGGGACGCTTGCAGTTCATTGTTTTACGTTTGCTTACTTTTGATGAAAATCTGGCATGTCGGGAAACAGTAAAACGGTGGCAACGGTCTATCGGAATTGCTCGGCAACACCTACAGCACTGTACACTTGTGGGGAGTCTCAATGTCTCTTTGCAGATATTGAAAGTGGACATTCATTACTAGACGAAGTCAAAGCGACGCTTTGCAGCAGCATTGCAGAACGCTTTGAAAAACAAAAAGAAAAGCACCCGCTAGTCGTAATGCACCTTTGTCTTGTGTACGATTTCGCATTGCACTGCAGTAGTTAGGTGTTTCATCAGTTGAAGGCCGCTTCCATTTATTACATCAT